TGATCAGCATGAAGGGCCTCAGTCTGGCTATGCAAGTTTGGGAAAACCGAGCAAGTGTTTGTGCTGAGACCCGAGCGTGAGAGACTGAGTAGCAAAGCAGAAGACTGGCAGGTATGTTTGCCACAGTGCAGTGTGGAGGGCGTCAGATCATAGGAGTCCAGTGTGCCATGCCCAGAAGCCTAGATAGGAGATTATGCTGTGGGCTCAGGTTGCCAATTTTTGAGCAGATTATGCATTATAGAAAGATGACTGACTACAAAAGGAACAACTGAGGCAGGGCGCCTCGGAGGTAATAAGTCAGAACTAAGGCAGTAGCAATGAGGATGGGGACATACAGGTCAGAGTTAGGGTACATTATAGCACTTGGTAATTAGTTGGAAATGAAGAAGAGCCTAGGAGGATTCCAAATTCCTGATCTGGGTCATTGAGTGGATAAGGGGGCCATTCACTGTAGTGGGGAACATTGGGAGAAAATAAATTTGTGGAAAATACAAGCTCAGCTTGGTAAGAGGTGAATTTGTACTGTCTGTGGAATATCCAAGGGGTGGTTGCTTTCTATAGTCTGGAGCTCAGAGATAGATCTAAGCAAGTGACCAATATGGGAGTTGTCCACAGGAGGTCCTTAGAGTCATAGGAGTGATTGAGACCATCTGGAAAAGTGGAGAGAGGGGAAGAACCCAGAGCAAGTGACAACTGCCCATGGGTGCTTTCCCTTGTGCAATGGAAGAGTCAAGCCAAGCAAAGTAGGCTAATTTCACTGCTTTAATGACATGCGGTCAGAGAGTTCTGGGTTCTGGATTGGGAAGAGGTTAGGCATACCTTTCCAGACCAAGTTTGTTCCTGGAGATTCAGCGAAGAGGGATAAAGCTCTGAGCTGCAATTGTGGGATGTAACCACGAGGTGGAGCCTTGGCATCTTGTACCAGATTTCCCCTCCCTGCAAACGCCCCAAGAGGCCTGGAGCAAGTTGTCAAAAGCAGAGAGGAGGAAGGTGGCTCTGTCAACAAGGCAGACTTGGGTTTTGCTTAACACAAAGTCCAAATGCAAGCTCGCTTTTTTAAAAGAGGAAAAAAAGTACCTGGGAAAAAAGAACAATATGCCAAGTGTGCCAAATGAGAGTTCACATATGTTTGAGCACACACATCTGCCTCTCACTATACATCCTGTGTTTCTATGTATATGTGTTTCTTGTGGATCTCTCTGTACCTACGGTGTGCTCCATTTCCAAGGGGCACCTGCACGTGCATCCCTGTGCACACTCCAGGTTTCACATGTGTGCATGTATCCCAGAAAATGGGCAGCCAGAAATCCTCACCTCCCTGCCGCAGGAAAGTGAGGAGGCACTTGACCCTGAAAAGAAAGTCCCCTGAGTTGAAACCATAGGACTCTGTACCTTTGGGGAGCCCCAAAGCAGCTGAGACCATGGAGAACATTCCAGGAGACTAAATGGAACCACTCATCTATCAGATGATCTCAGATTATATCTGAGTCCTTTGTCTAGCTACCGAAGGTTGCATTCACATACAATCTTTTTAAAGGGTGTGTGTGTGTTTTGGGGGGCGTGTTTCTAGGAAGGGAACCTAGGGATGCTCTACAGCTAAGCTACACCCCCAACCCTCTTTAATTACTATTATTTTCTATTTTGAGACAGTAGCTCACAACTGAGATTCCCAGGCTGGCCTCAAACTGCTTCAGCGTCCTGAGTAGCTGGTGTGTGCCACTGTACCTGGCAGGATTTCTTTTTCTTTATTTATTTCTTTGGTACTAGAGATCAAACTCAGGACCTTGTGTTTGCAAGGCAGGCAGTGAGGCAGGATTTCTTAATAGGCTGAGGAATTCATAAAGTTGTCCATTTATTAATTTAAGATTTAATAGCCATTTGCTGACCACCTGCCATGCACCAAGCACAGCACTAGACATATATTCTATTTCTCCTTTAAATTTCTTGTAGAGTAGTTCACGATCAAGTGAGGAAAGAGCTGAAATTCTGGTTGGAGTGAAGATGAGCCAGGGAGAGTCCCAGGAGAGTTTTCAGCAGGGAGGTGACATGGTCTGGTCACTCTTGTTGCTAAATGGAGTTGGAATTGGACTGGAAGAGACACAAAGTCAGGGTTCCAGTTAGAGGGTTGTCATGCTGGCCTACACAGTAGCTCTCATGCTTTATAAGTCAAGTAGGACTTATTAAAAGACAGATTGCTAAATTTCCCAGGCTGGGATGGAACTTGTGCTCTTCCTACCTCAAGCTTAGTGCCTTAGCAAGACTGTCTCAAAAACAAATTGAAAAGTGTTGGGAGTGTGGCTCAGTGTGGAGAATTTAGGTTCAGTCCTCAGGGGTTGGGAGAAAACAGATTGCCAGACTCCGTCCCAGAGTTGCTGATTCAGTAGGTATGGGGTGGAGTCCAAGAACTGGCATCTCTAAGTTTCCAAAAAGTTGGTAATGCTGGTTCAGGGGCCATACTTTGAGGACTACAGGTCAATGAGAAAGTGAGGGAGCTTAAGGTGCTGAGAGAGGGGGTGCCATGTGCCTTCTGTGGCACCCGCCTCAGATTTCCTCCACATCCATTCCGTGAGTGACCATTTAAGGGTTAGGAATAGCAACACTACCTGAGGATTGACTTGTGGAGGTGAGGGAAAAGTCCCAGACTCTTCCAGGGTGATGGGCAAGTTTTGAACCCAAAGGATAGTGGTGTCATTTACGGAGCTATAGAACTACAGAGGAAAAGCAGGTGGTGGTTGAAGCAGATGGGGGCTGGTGGTAGGGGTAGAGGAGATGTTGAATCTAACCTTGACTTGGAAATGCAGATGACTGCAAGGAGATATCTGATGGAAAGGAGATGTCCAGTTGGCAGCTGTGTGGGCAGTTTCAGATCTCTAGTGAGTGGGCACGAATGAGCTCATGAAGACTAGAGAGGAAGAACAGGCAGAAGCTGCTCCTCTGAGACTGAATAACGGGAGACAGAAGTAATCAGAGGAGGAGACAAGAAGGAAGCAGCAAGGAAGCAGGGAGAGGAAACCAAGGGAGCCACCAGACAGACAGCCCCTTCTGTCACCCTGACCTTCCCAGGCCTGTTGGAAAGAGCAGGGCTCTGTTCCCAGAACTAGGCATGGCACGAACCCCCTTGCTGCTTCTGGACTTCTCCCAAAGGCCTCTAACACTTTGCAAGCTGTGAAGTGATATTTGCCCTGCAGCTTGACTTTGGATGTCCCTATGGGTGAGGCCAAGGGGAGCAGGAAGAGGAGGAGGAGGAATATTGCCACAGATTCTCACACACATACGTGTACAAATGCACACTGTCACTCCTAACCTCTGAGCTGCCCAGTTGTGCTGCATCCATCGCCCTCACTGGAAAGCTCTTAGTGATGAACTCTTGGCTGCTAGCCTTTTCCCCATAGCCTCCCAAGCTGAGATGACCAAGGCCTGAGCTTGGCACCAGTCATGTGCCTTCTGGAATTCTCAACTAGAACTCCACATTCCATGGATTAGTAGTGTTATCTTCCTGTCCCCTTTTCATCTACTCTATCTCTTTATCATTATCTTTACCTTCTCATCTCCTACTTCATTAAAAAGGGATGTAAGAAGGGTGGGATATTTAGCTCAGTGATGCCGGCTGGATTCCTAGTACCAAAAACAAACAAACAAACAAAAGGGATGTAAGAAAACAATGAATCCTCCCTGACCTCCTCCATATTTTTGTTGTTGCTGCAGAAATTGAGATCAGAGAGGATAAGAGACTTGGGTGGGATCACAGTCACTTAAGTCGCTTAAATCAGGACTGCTTTATAGGTACCTGAGTCTGAGGCAACGTAGAATAGTGATCCTGAGCAGAGAGGGGCTGGAGGGAAACTACCCCAGTGCCAATCCTTAACTAGCTGCTTGACCATGGGAAAGTCATTTCAACTCTGTACCTTGTTCCTTACCTGGAAATGGGGGTGATACGGACATCCATCCCAAAGCACCACGGTGAGGGTAAAATAAGATTCCTTAACTCCTCAGCATAGAGCTGGCCCTTTGTGTAATAAACGTTCACTGTGCTTATTTCTACTATGCCCTGTTCTGTGCACCGTCTTGCTTTTTAAAACATCTTCCTTCTGCTCTCTTACTCCCTGTTCTTTGGCATTTCCCTTACTTTCCTTTCTTTAATTCCTGTCTCCGCTTCCAGGAGAGGAGGGTAGAGTTTTAGGAGAAAGAAAGAGGGAATGACTACAGAGATTAGAACATGCCTGACAGCCAGCCAGTGCCTGCTGTGGTAACACACAATGCAACAATCACACCCCTTCCCCGTGGCTCAGTTGCACACAACTCACTCAATGGTCCGCAGCGTCACAGGCTCACACCCAATCAGCCCAAGCCCCTGTGGCTTCAGACACATCTTGACCCCTTCTTGAGTGCAGCTCATGCGAAACCTCATCCCCAGGCAACACTCTCCGCCCAGTTTATGGCTCCAACTTCCTCAGGCTCTGGCTTGGCGTTGGGGTTCACCAGCTCAGGAAGCCTGAGTGAAGTGGGCACCGTCAGAGGGTTTTGATCCAGAACCATTCAAGAGACATAACAGAGATGCAAGCAAGCACAGGAGCTGATGCAGCCTGAGTTTCCAGTCCACAGACTTCCACGTTCACGAGCGTCCACCTCATTCAAAGTCAGGTGAGGGGTTAAAAGGCTGGTACCCATTTTATGAACCATGACGCTGAGGCCAGCAAGGAGTCGTGCTTTGCTCAAAGGCAAGGATTTGACACAGCCGGGCAAATGTAGACTCCTGCAATCCAAGCCTCGAATCTTTCTGTTTCCTCGAAGCTGAGAGCTTGAAGCCCAAAGGGCAGTTCAGATCAGAGGGGGTGAAATTTACGCCTCTCCCTTCCCGGCCAGGACCAGTCCCACCAAAGCCACGCCTCCCTTCTTGCGGCCACCGGGCCACTGGGGAAACGGAGGCGAGCGCCCAGGCTTGTCTCTTTAATGCGCGCCCCCGGAGGCCCGGCGCGCCCCCGCCTCTATAACTGGAGTGCATGGAGAAGGCTGCGCTCAGAGGGAGAAGAGTGGGCGCTGGGCACCCGTTGACCGACTTTTCCAAGTGTGATCAGCGCCCGCCCGTTCCGCATCCATGGACCCGCCCGAGGGCACCCACCAGTGAGGACCTCACAGCCGCAGGGCTCAGGGCCGGGCTGCACCCAGCTGCTGTGCCGTGACCCCCGCGGACTGTGCCGACTCCCCGAGCCCG